CCACGCTGCCCGCGCTGCCCGACGACGGCGGCAGCGGCGCCTTCCCGCCCGGACACTTCAAGGACCCCAAGCGGCTCTACTGCAAGAACGGCGGCTTCTTCCTGCGCATCAACCCCGACGGGCGCGTGGACGGCGTCCGCGAGAAGAGCGACCCGCACAGTGAGTGTCCCCGCGTGCACCTGCCCGGCGCCGCGGCGCCCGGCTCCCCGCCACGCGCCCTGCCCGCAGCCCTTCTCCGCGCCGAGCCCCGGCGGCGGCTGCTCGCGGCTTAACCCGGCGGCGTGCGGGGCCCGAGGGGCGGCGAGAGGCCGCGGGAGCCGCGCGCACCTCCCGCCCAAGCTGCTGCCCGAGGCTACGCAACCCCAGGGTGCCCGGGCGCCGTGTTAGCAGCGTGCCGCTCGCTCGGCCCCAGTGCTCCGGGCCTCTGCAAACACGCGCCTAGGGGTGTGCGAGGTTGTTTGCTGTCATCCACAACASGTGGAGTGGCACTTTGAGCCTTTATACTGCTGTAATAAGTATGCTGAATATATAAAAGTCAAAAGACTTTTTTTTTTTTTTCCCTCCGGATAGATTAACTCTGCTTATGAATAAAGAGTGCAGAAGTATCCCTAGAGAGGAGCATAGGCAGAGCTTATAGCAAAGCACTGCCTATAGTATGGCAACCTCTCCRGCTTACAGCAGGACAGTCAGTTTTCTTCATTGCTTCAGCATCAATAAAACAAAACATATGGAGCATCCAGGACCCTCGATGGCTTCTGCGTGGAGTGGTGCCTAGTGTCTGCTGCGAGGCTGGGGGACACCCACGGGGTTGCAGGTACAAAGGCAGCAGTCAGTGCGTTGTCCAGGAACAAAATGCCCTTCTGCAGACTATGGGACAGTTTGGCAGGATTCCGTATGGAGTCATTGCTGATGCAGCTTTGGGTTTCCTAATGCCCATGAAGTATTTACTTCAGAAGAGCTATGAGTTGCTCCCAGGTACCTGCCTATCCTTTGCAATCATCTCTGCTGGTGTGAGAAAGCTTGTTGTAACATGTTCACCATGTCTGTGCACCGTGACAGGGCAGTGATCTGGCTGCAGGCTCTGAATGCAAAGAGCAGGGAAAAAGTCACAGGTTCCTATCCGATCCTGGCCCCCGAGTGGCAGAGGAGAGGGGGAGTGGAGGATGAGAGGAGACTGAGATCACAGAGACCAAGCAGAGGAGAAGCAGGTGAGGATGGGCAAAAAGGTGGCAGAAAATATGAGCCCTCTAAGAGTGCTTTGCAGTTGGGGCATAAATGCTAAAATGTTCTCTTAGAATTCAGAAGAAAGATTGCAAGACACTGTTCCCAAATTCCAGCCCTGGCTCAGGTTATGGCTCAGYCTGAGGCCGTTTTACTTTGTCACTYTCTGTTAGAAATGTTACATGTCTGAYGGGCAGTGGTTACGAGTTGGAAAAGATATCTAGCTAATGTTAGCATCCTTTATTAGGCTGAGCAAGCTGGCAGGCTTTTAGACCTGCCCTACCTTCTTGCATTTTTCTGCTGCTGCTTTAAAGGGAAACAATGTGGTTGGTGATGTGTGATTAGTAACAAAATAATATAGGTAATGCCAAAGCAACGTTTAAATAACAAATTATCRCACCTGGGCTCTTTGGACCTTGATACCTAAAACAAGGCTTCAATTTGCCGTATAGATAAGGAGTCTGATTTTAAAACTCTCCAGTCAGTGAATGTGCAGCTTCCAGTTGGTGCTAGCAACTGTAGAGCAGTACATTCAGCCTGGTGGAGGCTCCTGTGCCTGGGAAATGAGGGGATCCTTACAGGAAATAAGTCTCATGAACATATAACATGTGTTGCCTCACCTTGAGASGTAGCTGTGAGAGTGGTTTGGGTAGGTGATGCTAGAGGACACAGCGTAAGTGTCATGTCAGGCTGGAGCAATGCCTCCAGATGTTGTTACTGCTACCGGGTTCTTCTGTCATTCAGTTCTTGGCATTTTGTGGTGAAAAATGCCCATAGCAGTGTGTTCTGTTGTATGTTTACCCTTAAAATATGAACCACAGATGATCTTAATATTCTTCCAGCCTGACTACAGCTGCTCTGATTATTATCCTTGATTTTGCCCTGAAAGTTCTTGTTCTTCAGGCTCCCTAGTTTTCCCTGCAACCACCTCTTTTCTTCAGTTGATTCTGCCAGGGAAATGCTAGTTTTACATTCTTAAATCTTTCTAACATGGGTTTTATTTTCCTGTTAAGCCTGTATGTATACCAGAAATTGCAGTTTTTTTCAAGCTGCTTCCCTGGTAGTGAATTATGTTTGAAAATCTTACCAGTGTYGGTGTTGCCTYGCTCTTTCCATGCCATTCCCTTTGAGTTTCTCTGCTCTTTATAGCTTTTCTGTCATTTCTTCCTGGCCCTCCACTTTGTCTCTGTACGTTTTGTTTCTCTCTGCTCTGCCCCTTTGGTGTTGCAGATCGCTAATATCCGTCCCCTTTTCTCTTTCCTCCTAGTCTCCCTCTGAAACCCCTTTGTTTTCCTCCCCTTGAATGGTGACAGGGAATGGTGGGAACAGGTAGAGGAAACTCTGGGTTACAAAGCAGGGGTACAGCTGCCTTCTGCTGCACAAAGCCAAGTGGCAGGGAGCAGCGTGGGTCGCCCTGAGCTTTGCTCCCTCTGCTCGTCCTGCAGGAACGCCTTTCCTTCAGGAGTGGTGGAGAAGCGTGGGACAGGGGCCGGGGCTGTCTCTGCAGCCTGCGAGCTGCAGGAGCACCCGAGTGAGCCGCTCGCCCGGCCCCAGCGCCCGAGGAGCAGCTGCGAGGATCAGCGTCAGGTCCCTCTATTTGCTCTCGGGTTGCTGTTTTTCTCTTTCCTGGAAGAATTCCCTTCTGAGAAGGGCAGGAACGGGCGCTTGAAGCGCTGGCTTGGGTTCTGCGTGGCTGCTGTCCTCAGCAAGCGCGTGCAGGTGCGTGAACTGTGACCTGGGGAGCGCTGCTGCCAGCATCCCTGAAATCCCGGCAGGTCACGCTGGTGCAGCACATGGCCGGGAAAGGGTGCTTGACGGATGAGAGGAAAAATCCTTTCCTAAACCAGATTTCAACGTGGAGAAACTATATCCCAGCTAACTCTTAATGCCTTTCTTTCATTAAATAAGAGGTTTTGTAAGATGTTTTTGAGAAAAATGGCTGTAGAGACTTTGGGTTAGAAGTCTAACTAAGGGGCGTTTAATAGAGATTCTTGTGGAAATCTCTGCTATTAGGATTTAATTGTAAAAAATAACATTTGGTTAGGACAAGCTCATTTTTTTTTCTTTGCTACTAGAGGAAGTTCTTATTTTAGAAGGTAAATGGTCCTTTATGCTTCAAAGAAAAATCTAATCCTATGAACATATGTTTTCACTTGCCCTGCCTTTTCTTTGCCCCCTTCTACGTATTCTGTTTCATGGGAGAGCTTGGGCTTTGACCGTTTTACGCTCAGCCAGTTCACTTTACTGTATTCATAGTTTGGTCATTTGATGAAACGCTAGTTTACGTCCTGTCCTGTGTGCTGCATGAGGCTGGCATCATGTGAGCTGGGGGCCTATGCACATTATGTGGCTGCCTCTGCCACCTCTGTACAGCCACTGCAGCGGAGCCCCCCTTTGGACCCACCCTGAGGGTTTGCCACGGGTTTGTTTTTTCCTTCGATAGGTACTTTTCAGGCAGGCAAGAAGCACAAGGTGCTTTTAAGGCTTATGTTATTTAAAATGGAACAAAAATAACTTTTTTGAGGGGGTGAGTGGGATGGGAAAGGGGTGGCCAACTACTTTTGTTTCATCTTGTGGAAAAAGTAGAAAGGATCCAGTCTTTCTGTCAGGACTTTCAGAAAATCTCCAGAGGTGTCTGCTCCAAGAGCTTGGAGCGCCAGCGATGGGAAGGCCAAGGGAAGGGAACGGGAACGCCTGTGCATACGTTCTTGAAAGTGTCCAGGAGCACAGCTGGCTTCCTTCCTTGTTCCTCCTACTAAGGAATAGTCTGCGTGTGTGTGTTTATGTATCTATATCTATCTATCTATATAAAACTTCACAAGCTGTTTTATTTCATGCCAGGCATAAAACAGGGCATTCAAGGAATCCCGAGCCCTTCTTGTCTTCCCATTAATATAGTGACAAGGCTCCAGTTTGTCACTTGGAAGGGATTCAGCAGCATGAGCTTTACCAGCATGTCTGAAGCACTGCTTTTCTGCCTGGTAATTGATTTCTATTCCATAAATAGTCTTGAGAAGACATAAAATAGGGTAATAATGATCCAGGATTTTTTTTTCCTGGGAAAGTTCCTTGTATAAGTAGTAGTTTTTATTTTTAAACCTATATCCTATGTAACAATTAAATATTTGAGTTGTAAGTGATTTGAAAAGAGTATATTGAAGTGTGTGCAGTCTTTTGCAGCTAGTAGCTTAATCAAGGAGAAGATAAAAATCTGATCCCCGTGTATGCCAACAGAATAAAACTAAAATTAAAACTAAGTGTTGCTCAGAAAGGAAAGCTGGTGCARATGTCAGGAGCCTCTTAGTATGAGGGTGCAGTGTCCAGCAGTTAGTGTTAAAAGGTGCAGCAGTTCTGTAGAGCTTGGAAGCTCTCTTCCATTTCAGTGTCCTGTGGATGTGGCTGGAACTGGTAGCGGGGTGTCCTATTCCGAAGGAAATAAGCACCGCTGGAGTGGTGAGAGCGAGAGTTGACTTTTTTGAAAATCTTGCCCCAAGAGTTCAAATATGACACTTGTATCCAAGCCCCTCTGAGAACAGATTCATTTACTTTTGGTGCAGAGAGCAAGTACTAACACTTTGATACGCAGAGATCACAGAAACCACTCCTGGACCTCAGGTGTAGCTGTTTTTAAAGAGGCAGGTAGCAGAGATCCTGCAGGGAAGGAAGATGAGAGCATATTTCCTTGGCATCTTTGCTTGCTCCGGCACGGAAATACCTCCATAGCGTTTGCGGTGCGGCGCTGCAGGCGAGGAGAGGCGGCGGAGGGMCGGGAGGGCCGGCCACGCGCCGTGGCTGGGCTGACTGAGGTGAGCTCCGCGGTGGCACCGCGCGCAGGGAGCCTGCGGGAGGGCGGACGGGAAGCGGGGACAGGCGCCCACAGCGCCTCCCGCTCCAGGGCCGTTGGGTGCTCCCTGGAGAGTATGGGAGRCTCCCAGGTA